TACTTCTGAAAATTGAACATATGGAACACAGGTTGGCACATGGAAAACTATGTAGGCATTTATTCAAATAAATATCAGAGCACCCATCAGATGACGCACCCTAAAAGGGGTGTTGTAGGGACGGCTCCAGATACGTTGCATGCTCAGCTCTGCCATGCTGTGGGGTAGGTGCTGTCTGAGCTATCAGAGAAATCTTCAGACATTGTGGAAGCTTGAGCCCACCAGCCTGTCATAACCAGCCTGCCACTGCAGTGGCAAGGGCAGCATGGCCTGGAGCCCAGGAAGGATGCCCTGTCTGCTGTCTGCTGAGGCCACCATGCCCTGGTGACAACATTCTAAACCCAGGGAGACACAGCCTCTGGGATCCCCATCCCCTTAGTCAAGGCTACCGCGTGGCTCCACCCCTGCACTGCATCTGCCTCCTCACCAGTCTCCCTGTCCCTGGTCCTGAGCCCTGAGCCTGTTCAGTGACCATAGCACAGCAGCCTGCATGGTTGTTTAAAAGCCTAAGGCAGACCGAGCATCTGCTATGGAGCAGACTGACCTCCAGTGCTTCCCACTGGAGCAAAGCCTGAGTCTTCACCTCAGCCCGGGACTTTCATGATGTGGCTCCGGCCATTTCCCCATCTCTTTGCCTATCCTTTGCCCTAGCTCATTCCACTCTATCTCACTGTTCTTCCTGTTGCCTCCCAAATGGACCAAATTCTCCTGCCCTAGGGCCTTAGCACATGATTGACCCTCTTCCAGAAATGCTGTTACCCAAACACTATATGGTCTTCTCTCTTACTACTCCCAGTCTCTCAAAAACCATCTTCCTAAAGGGCACACATAGAACAGGCCCTCTCCCTTTCCCTCTTTCCTTCACAGTACTTCCCGTCAGTTGACATGACTTATATAGTTGTCCATTTTCTTGGTTAGCAGCTATCACCTTTACCAGGATATAAATGCCACCACTGCCTCTTTTGCTGAGCTTGTGCAGTGCCTGGAACAGAACCTGGCATGAAGTAGGTGTTTAATAAATGCATGTGGGGTAGCCCCACTGAGTCGTGGATGGGATTATATTCTATATGTTTCTCCTCGCTGTCTGCATCAGCCAATGCCAGCTTTTAGCTTCCTTAAGTGCCAAGCAATTTCAAGTGTCTATCTTTGGGTTGGGGCTCTGACCTCCGCTCCAGGCTTTAACATTCCACCACACTTCTGCAGCTCTCTGCACTGGGCCCTCCATTCCTCTCACTTCCTGACTCTCCACCTGTTGCCCAGTGGCACAGTTTCTAGTGTTCCTTGTCCTGGTGGATGGTACTGCCAACCACACACCAGTAAGCCCTGACCCCAGGGTCATTCTGGAGGCCTCCATGCCCCGTGCCAGTCATCAGCATAGCCAGGACTCCTTCATGTCACGTGACTGGCTGCCCTCAGTCACCCCCACCACCTGTGTCCACACAGCATGATCCGAAGGTTGCTTCTGAGCACAGTGCTCCTGTACTGGCAACTGTGCTCTGCTTTCCTTTACTCTTAGGATAAAAATCAGAATCTGTCACGCAGCTTCTGTGAGCAAGAAGAAATTCAACTGGACACTCCAGTACAATGGTGCTGATGCTCATTACTAAAATCCCTCTGTTCCCATTGGCCAGCAGCGACAACATCTGAAGTGCCCCTCACACTTACTGCCATGGCCACTCTGTCCTGTCCCCTGATCCTTTCCCTCAGTCAGCAATTCTAAAGTCAACCCCAGAAGCAGCAGGTGACTTCAGGGCTCCTGAGGTATAACCTCCTGGCTGCTGGGCACTGTGCTCTTCTCTGGCTTTGCACCCTGTGGCCCCTGCTGGTCCTTGTGTGTGACCCACTCCAGCCTTCCCTAGTCTTTTACCTGCCAGGGGTTGCTTCACAGGCTGCTCTCATGGCTAGAATGTTTTTTCTCCTTCACTTTCTTCACCCTGGCTCACCGCTCTTGATCATAGTAGCCTTCTCCGGCCTCCAATTCTTTCAGGTGTCTTATCTATTCTCAAAATATTGGAGGCCTTTCTTTCATGAGACCTAAAGTAGTTTTGGGGTTGCATGTAGTCATGTGTTTGATTACTTGATCATCAGCTCTCATGCCCAGCGAACCACAACCAGGCTAAGGACTGGGCCTTACCTTGCTTGTCCACCCTACAGCCCTACACACCACATCCCTGCGAAGACGCACTGAGAGGCACAAGACATAGGGGCTGGTGCTCAGTGGGCATGAACAAATAAGGAACCAGGCACTCACTTAAGCATCCTGATGTATATTTGTGCACATTGCTTTCTATGATGATGTGCAGAGAGTAGCGATGATGACAATAGCAATTAATAGGATGGTGCGACGAGGAGACAGCCCTGAATACGCAGATAACTCCTTCAGCAGCCCAGACTTCTTCCCGCCAGGCTGCTTAGAGCATTCACTTCCCCTGATGGAGAGTGACGCGCACTGTTGCAGTGCACATGATCTTGAAGCATATTCCTTACAGCAGGAACTGCGCTCCATCACAGTCCTGAGCTCCAAAGACTGGAGCCCAAAGCAAATGCCTGAGCCAGACCCCCAGGACAAGAGCCCTTTTCAGCTTCTGAAAACAAATGAACAAATGTTTTACAGAGGAGAAAGCTCTGGTGCCATTATGAGCCAGCCCTGTCAATGTGATAAAGAAGCAGTGTGGTCCCAGGGGCACTGATGTGCTTAATGAGGGCCGCAGTCCAGCTGCTCTGACCCCTCCCCTGGGCTATCCTCTCCCTCCAAAGCAGAAACCAACACACCCTGTGTAGCAGAGGGAGCCGGGACAACTTTGATTCAGTCTTTCCCTGAAAGAGCCTGGCTGTGGCTACCTGTGACTCAAAGCCACCGACCCTGGGACACAGGCCAGAAAGGCCACAGGCCTAGCTGCAGCCAAGGGTTTGTGCTGTAGAGGATTTTCTTTTACTGCTCTCTGCTATTCACTTCCTCACTTGCAGCTGGCCCTTGCTGGAAGAAAGATGCTGGTGTAGCTAGGACTGGAGTCACAGCATAAGGCATGAGCCCGTCCATCTCCCTGTGACTTGTTATGGAGCCGAGCCCATCGGAAATGGTGTCAATAAACTACCTTGGTGCCTGCTGTTCTCTGGACCCTGCAGTGAGCCAGGGAGGCACTCCAGGCTGAGAAGGTGGAAGAATAAGGTAGTTACCCCACCTGGACACCAGTCAGGCTGGAGCCATTCCCCAGATGTCATCAAAATCTTCTAGAAAGTGAGCCCTGGCTCAGGCCTCATGAATGCTCAGTTGTCTCCGCCTAAGCTAAATGGATTCCTCTGTGAGCTGAGCACTAACCCTTGGAAGGCCTCCATGGTGGAGTCTTCCTCCAGGAACTGCACTGCAGGGAAGCCCATCGGAGCTGCTGCCACAGCAGAGACAGCAGCACAGAATCTTGGCCATAGGCCCTGCAGGAAGGTCCCAAGAGACAGGGGCCCTCAGTAGACAGGCAGGCACTGCACACCTGCGGCATGTGCAGCTACGTATGGCCTCGTGGGGTTGAGTAGTCTGAGCCTTCATCAGGGCCACCACCTTGCCCTCTACTTCTACTTCCACTGCCTCCCAATTTCTACTTCTGCTGCCTCCCACCAAGGCTAAGATTCCTAGTCTCCACTCAGCTGCCTTCCAAAGGCCTGTCCTCAGCCATGTCATACGCATGCTCAGGGTCTATGTGTGCACACTGTCTGCTGGTACAGGGCTGCTGGATCGGGAGGGAGGAGCAGGGCCTGTGGTCCTCAACCTGTTCTCACCCTCCAGCTCCCACAGGCAGCCCCTTCTGGCTCCTGCCTCAGGCTTTGCCTCTTGCCACACCCCACACCACTGGGATCTCTGGTGGGGAATCAGCTCCACCACTGACTCTAAATGGGAGAGTGAGCTGTCCTGCAGGGCCACAGCAGGTGCAGGGGAGTGGCAGGAGTGTATTCTCATGGTAAACCTGGCCTCTGCTCAGCAGGCACTTGTCCCTCTGGTTTGTGGCAGGCCACCAACCTCTACCACACTGGTGAACACGAGGACCTTGGGTGACAGGGACAGAGCTAGCCCCAAAGGTTCAAAGGTCACAGGATTCCACAGTCCTACTATGGCCTTAGGGCAGTCATGTTCCTGTAGACTGGGAACAGAAGGGATGCTGGAGGGAGGGTTAAGGCTGTTGTTTAATGGGGACAGAGCTTTAGTTCAGAAAGATCAGGAGAAGGACAGCAGGGGAGGCCACATAACACCAGGATGTGTGTACACCACCAAACTACACTTACAAGCAGCTACGATGGAAAAAGGATTTCACTATAATGGAAAACAACTTTCAAGTGGTCAAGACAGTTTAAAAAGAATGACAATTGATTTTAAATTAGAAAATGAGGTAGTAAATGTATCTGAACAACTGGCTGGCAAACAAAAAATCAAGTCTCTAGAGTCCAAGCACACACCTGCTCATCTAGGGCCCCAACTCTGTCTAGTTGGTTCCTAGTTCATCAGCCCCACAAACTTGATTCGCTGCACCCCAATCCACCCCGAGCATGCTCCGTTTCCTCTCCAGCTCTCCTGAGACCTTGTTCCTCTCTCTGAACTCAGAAGCCCTCATGGAAAGCCTTCAAGCCTTTATGGAGTCTTCAGTTCCCTGTTCTCCCATTGGCCTGGTTGAGAACCCATAGAGGTTGCTGGTGGACAAAGGAGATTCACAGTCACATGGCATTGCCTCTTTCAAAGGCCCTTCCTCCTACAACTTTCAAAGACCACATCCTCTGTGACAACTTCTAAGGGAGGAGGCTCTGAGGTCACTTATACCCTGCTGAGAGTAGCCCTCCTCTGGGGACCCTGTACTGGGCAGGGCCAAAACACAGACTGAGGCCTTCACAGGCAGGAGCCCCTGGGGAGTTCTGAGACTTCAGGGGAAAGTGGACAGAGCCCATGTTTCAAAGCCCTCAGGAAATGCCACAGGCAAGAGCTGCTCTTCAAGAGAATGGCCTGTCTCTGTCCCACTTACCTGGTTACAGGTGTTAATATCTACCCCATTCCGCAGGTGATCCAAAGCTTTGTCCAAGTTACCTGATCGTGCTGCCCTCAGAAAGCTGGTAGCAGCATCGGCCTGTGGGGAAAACAACAAGCTGTGAGTGTCTCCTGCACAGTCCTGATCTCCAGTGCCCCTCTGAGATCTCAACTCCCATTAGAGTGCTCTGCTACCAGAGTGTCCCTGAGTGTGGTAGGATTGCCACCAGGCCACCAGTTGGACTGTTCTGGGCCCAGGAGCTTTGGTCTCCCTACCTTTGGGTATTATATAAGTCTACATTCTGGGGACTGTTTTCTGGGTCCCCACTTTCCGGAGCAATCCCATTGCAAGGGCCAATGCTTGACAGTCTGGGGTTTACTAGTTGGATGTTTCAGTGGCTACATGTTCTTTTTTTTTTAAATTTTATTTATTTATTTATGTGTGTGTGTGGGGGGGACAGCTCAGCCCACCAGGGGGCAGGGCTGGGGGCCTGTGGTGCTGGGGGATTGAACCGTGGTCCCTGTGCTTTGCTAAACTTGTTCTAAATAGGTGCTTTAGACCACTGAGCCATCTCTCCAGCCCCTGGCTACATGTTCTTGCTGGGGAGTCTCTAATAGGATGCTAACTTCTGGCTCCAGTGATTCATGAACACAGGCATCAAAGGAAGCCAGCAGGTGTTTCTCTGCACTGCTTTGTGTTTTGTATATAAATAGCACAATGTTTATCATGTGGTGAGAATCACTATCAGCACTTTATGTGTAATATATATTTACGAACAGGCACACACAGACATGTACCAAGACATGTACCTAGAGGTAAGCATCCCTGTAGCAGCCAATTGTACAGCTGTGTTACCAAAACACAGAGAGCTAAGAGACTTGTGCAGGGCCACACAAGAGTAAGAGGCACAGCCAGGACCCACAGCCAGGTGGTATGACTCTGAACTTCTGGGAATACTCTCCAGCTCTGCAGCTGGCTTTGTCTGGCCTTAACACCAGATCTCCATTATATTTCTTAGATTATACCCTGTCTTCTTTGGCTGCTATTTTGCCATAGACCTCAGCAAAATAAGAACCTCATTTGTGTTAAGATAGATGGTGACAGGGCCAGAGGGAGAGCTCTGGTCATAGTAAAGGCTACAAACAAGTGAAGGTAGTAGAAAGAGCATATAAGTAGAGGCCATGGCTTGGAGTACAGCAGTACCTGGGGGTAGATGAGTGGCCCAGACACTGTGATCTCCTGGTCCATAGGTGGGGAGGAGAGAGCCTTTGTCTACCCTGCTCTAGCTCATATAGATAAGTCAACAGGTAGGCATGGTCATGTGGCCAGCCATGGGGGGCAGGGTGGATGCCAGGCCTCCAGATCCCCCACCCTGCCCAGCTGGTTGCCACTCCAGCCAGGGTGGTACCACATCCTCAGAATATGTGCTGTAGGGGGTGAAACAGTGCCCTCAAAGAAATGCTCACACCCTAAGTTCTGTATCCTATGTGTAACTCATGGTGACTGTATGCTTGCTGGGGAAGAGCCCTTGCAGATGAAATTGAGCTGTAGCTCTTGAGATGAGATCATCCCAGAGTCCTGAAGTGGGTCTTAAATCTAGTGATAAGCATCCTTAAACAAGACAGAAAGGGAGATGTGGATAGGGAGAAGGAGGTGATGTGGACAGGAATTGGAGAGATGGCAGCTATCAGCCTAGGAAGTGGGCAATCCCTAGAAGACAGATGGTGGAAAAATGGGCTCCAAGTGTTTGGAAGGAGGGGTTCCTGCTCATGATTTCAGGCTTTTGCCTGGGACAGGATGCATCTCTGTTGCTCTAAGCCAAGATTTTAGTTATTCATCATAGCAGTCACAAGAAACTAATATACTTGCTAATGATGACAATCCCTTAATACAGAACACTAAAAACCTACAGTCAAGAGCCATAAAACAATGTTATACAATTAAATTCTGATCCCCTCCCCCATAACAGTGTACCACATATTTGCTTAACAATGATCCCTGGCAGGAAAGAATCATCAGCATGACAAACAGGAGATGCTAGAGTGGCAAGCAGCAAAGAAAGAGCTGCTCATACTGGAATGTAGCAACATGAGGAAGACAAGAAGGATGGAGGTGGATCCCCTGCACCTAAGAAGGACTGGAAGTGTCAACTGAAGCACAGAGAAAATGAAGACAGATACTTCAATGAAGAAGAAGGAGGCAGCCAACATCTCAGGACAAGACTCACTGTGCAAGAGGTGCAGTTCAAAGCTGAAGACACATAGTGGTTGCTGGTGACCCCAAAAGCCTCCATGGAGAGACACAGCAGTGGAGAGGAGCAGCAGACATAAAGAACTGCACTGGCTGACAGTGAGCGCTGAGAACTTTGTAGTCCCATGCAAGAGAGTTATTGGCTAGGTGCCATCTTGGAGAGAGGCCAGCTGAGCTCAGAATTCAAAGCAGCTGCCAGCTCCATCTAGTGGTTCCCAGCTGGGCTCCAGCCCATGGAAGGTATGCTGACGGCTGCAGGCTGAATGAGTCTGGTCTTGGCTAGAAGGTGCAGGGTTGATGAGCTTATTCACTATTCTTCCAATAAGCTGGTGTTGGCTTCCTGAGATAAATCAACACAGATTGGGACTCTGTCTCCCCATAGTATCTACCAGTGAGAGCAGAGATATACCTCGAGGTAAACTTTTTCTTTGTTTCATTCTTTCTTGTGTGTGTGTGTGTGTGTGTGTGTGTGTGTGTGTGTGTGTGTGAGAGAGAGAGAGAGAGAGAGAGAGAGAGAGTGTTTTTTATCCTTTGTTGTTTGATCCTGTTTTTATGAGTGTGAACATGTGTATAGCCTCTTTGTGGTTGTGATTCTGTTGTTCGCCTATCCTTGTTCTTCTTTTTATTGTTTCCTTGTCTCTTTCCGTCCCATTTTCTGCACCAATTTTCCAAAGTTAGCATGACCTCCCCTTTGTCTTCCAGCCTTCTAATTGCTCCCTCTTCTTCCACTTCTCTATTTTCTCCCTACGCCATTTGAAATTTTAACCCCGTGGGAAAAATTGACATAAAGACTTGCATACTGCGTATAATTTTTGGTTTGTTTTATATTTTTATATAACCATATGGATAAATCTAATTCATATGGATAAAGGTGGCAAATTAATGGTTACTTCAGTTTTTCATTTTGTAGGCTGTGTTTGATGCCATTTTCATTGCTGATGATACCACTATAGCCAAAAGTGTCATAATTGTTCTAAAGTGCTGTTCTTCCTGGTATTCCAAGACTGAGATTGACTAAGGGTCAAAGAAAATACTGTGGCACAATGTCAAAGAAACATGGCCTGGGCCAAACAGGCAGTGACTTCTCGTCCTGAACAAATTGAAGAGGTAGGATCTTGCAACAGATTAAAAACCCAGAAACCAGCTACACCTAGAAGATATTTCAGAAAGGTAGTCATTTACTCAGGGTTTGAAATATTGGCCATAAAGCAGCTGACCATAAGCAATTTATAACCCTCACCCTGGAATTAACATTAAAAAAAATAAAGAAAATAAAATGAGAAGACACTTAAATAAGATGCAACACCAGACATCTAGTTTGCTGAAGACAAACCAGGGGCAATGAAGTGAGACAATCTGAAAGGCACCCATCAGGCCTCTCTGAAGTAACAACAAAGCAATTGAATGAGGCTCTAGAAGAAATCAAATCAGAAATAATTTCTCAGATAATTACAAAGATAGGATCCTCAATGAAAACCATGCTTAGTGATGCTAGACAAGATAAGACCAAAAATAATGGAGAAGCCTGAGAAAATTATGAAAGTTGCAGGGATCAGGGTTCAATCCCTGGCACTATATGCTGCACTGGCCCTGCCCCTGGGCATGCTGAGCCAGCAACTGAGACTGGGAGTGGTGTCACATGCCTGTAATCTCAGTGCTGGGGAGGCAAAAACAGGAGGATCACTATGAGTCCAAGCTGCACAGTGAGACCCTGTACCAAATTCATTTGAAAGAAAGGAAGGAAGGAAGGAAGGAAGGAAGGAAGGAAGGAAGGAAGAAAGAAAGAAAGAAAGAAAGAAAGAAAGAAAGAAAGAAAATTATGGAAGCCATGAATGTTCAGCACAGGAAAGAAATGGAATGCAGGGTGTGGGGAGATAGCTTGGTGGTTTAAGTGCCTGCTGGGTAAGCACAAGGACCTGGATTCAATCCCTGGTACCACATGCCATGCTGGCCCAAGAACCCTAGGCACACTATGCCAGTGCCAAAACCGGGTGTGGTGGAGCTTGCCTGTAGTCCCAGTGCTGGGGAGGCTGAGACAGGAGGATCACTACGAGTCCAAGCTATATAGCAAGACCCTGTACCAAATAAATAAATAAATTAGTTAATTAAATTTATTAAAAAGGAAATTGAATCCATAAGGTGGATTCAAGCAGATATCTAAGAGAATAAAAATTCCATTGAAAGTGTCCACAACAGATTAAGTCAATGTAAGGATAGGATCTCAGATATAGAAGACAAGTTTGTGCAGCAACCATGAAAAGAAAGATCTCATAAGATACCGCAAGGGACCATGATAAATCAATACAGCAACTGCTAAATGAGGTAAAGAAGAATAACTTAAGATTGACTGGAGTCTATTTAAAAAGGAAGAGATAGCATAGATAGATAGATAGATAGATAGATAGATAGATAGATAGATAGATATAATCATGACACAGAACTTCCCTTGTAGAGAAAAAGCACATACACATAAGTGAGGCATATAGAACTCCAATTAACCAAGCTCAAAAAAAAAAAAAAATCTACAGCCAGGCATATCATAGTCACAGTTCCAAAAATTCAACCAAAGAATAGAATCTTAACAGCAGTTAGGGAAAAGAAACAAATCACATATTTTTATAAAGCCTATCAGAATCACAGCTGACTTCTCAACATAAACACTAATATAATTGTATTGGGGGATCTCAATACTACCTGTTACAAAAAGACAGATCAACTAAATAAAAGAACAATGAAATATTAGAACTCAACCAAACTTTTGAACAAATGGACTTAGTAGATGGCTATGGAGTGTTTTGCCCCACAACATCAAAATAGAGATTCTTCTCAGCTGTACCACATACTAGCTC